CTTCTCCTCGCGCTTCTTTGCTCTCTGGAGATCCTTAGTATATGAACCATAAAAAACGAAGATCCAAAGAAAAGGAGGAAAAAATGCATATATATCACCCTGAAGCGAGGATAAGTGAATAACTGCGCGTGAAGGCCGTCAACGCCCATGCGCAAGCCTGCCATCCCAGAATCTTTCGTCCATGTTGTCGTTAATCTTCGTTCGCTTACTTAACGAGGCGAAGGACAGATGACAGATCGACGCAGCTGCAAAAGCGATCAGGCGTTTCTGCAATTGCATGGAAATCTCTGTTGCACTGGTGACAGTTTAAGATGTGTATATATATACATACATGTTTTGTTTTGTTTTTGTTTAGAATCGGATTTGTTTTTGGAAATTATCTTACGAAACGTTTGGAATCGTTTAGTTCAGAAATAAATACAATGGGTAAAAAACTTCCGTTATTCGTTTGTGAACATCAGTCTTGACAGAATTCTGTTTCTTTGGATCTTCTGCTATAAAGATGCTGTTTCTTCTTATGTATGTAGGCACACACACACACGCACGTGTATGTTTGTGTGCATGTGTTCACTTACATTGCATATATAATGTAAATGCAGCATATTCACAATCAATTCTGCTTTCGCATTTTCTTTCATTGTGGATCACGACTAACCACACCTCTGACTTGAACCACTTCAATCGCGCAATAACACCCCAAACAAGGTCACACCACGACCCGGCCCAGCGCTCGTTTTACAACCTAAGGTCACACGGCTCGCAACGCACACACTCATCGTCTCGTACGATCACGTAGGCTCTTCTCGGCCGATCTCGTATCAGGCCCTAAAACTCGTCGCCGCAGATTACGTTACGACACGTTGCACTCCGCCACACTCGTAACCAATGCTCGCAGCGTCTTGAGTCGATTCTCACGCCGAGACACAATAAAGAGAGAGAAAAAACCCACGACACTCACAAAGACAATCAACCAAAGGCGCGAAAACTAATACATTTCTTCGTGACACAATGAGCCTTACATTTCTAGAAAGAAATCAATGGAGAGAAATAAGAGAAATATGCCATCAGAACACCACACTCCAGCTCCCAACGGCTCAAACGGCAAAAGGGAAATGAAAATGAATAAATCGTATTCGACCCAAAACGTACTTGCCAACCAGCACGCACGCGCTCTCCCCGACAGAGAATAAAGGGGAACTGAAATTCATATCTTGTTACGTATCGTGCAGTTACGTAGCGGCGACAGCTTTTCTTCCTTATCAGATAAGAGATAAAGTTCCAGAAAACCTGACGTTAGTGATAAGCAGCTTCTAATTAACTTCGTATCATAGGTGTTATTATCGCGGGGTTCAGCTCTGCCCGTGTCGTGTCGAGCTCTGACGAAATAAGGGTTTAATTTTGTTTCATTTTACTTTTTCTAAAAATCTAGGCAATGGCTTTAGCGACAATGGTAAAGAAGGGATAGATACTAAGAGAGAGAGAGAGAGAGAGAGAGAGGAGAGAGAGAGAGAGAGAGAGAGAGAGAGAGAGAGAGAGAGAAAGAGAAAGAAAGAAAGAAGAGAGAGAGAGAGAGAGAGAGAGAGAGAGAGAGAGAGAGAGAGAGAGAGAGAGAGAGAGAGAGAGAGAGAGAGAGAGAGAGAGAGAGAGAGAGATACGGCTGCTTGATAATTCGAAGAAAGAACAGAAATATCACTTGAGCAACTCACGAGAAATAGTCATCTGTTTATCTGAGCTTGTGTGGCAGGATATGCTGAACTATTCTTGATTTTCTTATTCTCGTTTAGCTATATTTACTATTCTATAGTGTTCTTGTCATCTGTTATTTCTTAATTTTTCTCTTTAGTCTTTCTCTGTCTCCCACTGTCTGTCTGTCTCTCTCTCTCTCTCTGTCTCTCTCTCTGTCTTCTCTCTCTCTCTCTCTCTCTCTTCTCTCTCTCTCTCTCTCTCATCTCTCTTCTCTCTTCTTCCTCATCCTCTCTCATCCTCTCTCACTCCCTTCTTCTCTCTCTCTCTCTCTCTCTTCTCTCTCTCTCTCTCTCTCTCTCTCTCTCTCTCTCTCTTCTCTCTTCTCTCTCTCTCTCTCTCTCTCTCTCACACACACACACACACACACACACACACACACACACACACACACACACAACCACCACACACACACACACACACACACACCACACNTTTCTCTTTCTCTTTCTCTCTCTCTCTCTCTCTCTCTCTCACATACACACACACACAAACATACACACCTAAAACCACGCGCAGTCGCACACATACATACAATGAGACATCAGGCCACGGCGCGTAACCCATTTAACCGCATAGGCTTCCATCCCACTTTTCTAAGCCTATAGAGACCGCAGCGACGCCACCTCGGTCTGCGTTAAGCCAAGAGCGATGGGTCAGTCGTCTGTCGTAACGGATCTATAGATTTTATTGCTGCTTTATACACGTAATACACGTACATGAACAACTGTGTGTATTTATTAGGGACTCGGTGTTGAGCCTTGTCGTCTGGGTAATTTTTTCTCTCTTTTTCTGTTTGTCTCTGACTGTCTCTCTCTTATCTCTTCTCTCTTTTCTCTTTGTCTGTCTGTCCGTCTGTCTCTCTCTTTCTTTCTTTCTCTCTCCTTTCGCTTTTCTCTTCTCTTCTCTTCTCTTCTCTTCTCCCTTTCTCTTTCTCTTTCTCTTTCTCTTTCTCTTTCTCTCTCTCTCTCTCTCTCTCTCTCGCTTTCACCCTTCCTACCCTTCCTCTACCTGCATATCTCCCTCTTCCTCTCCCGGGCCTCTCTTCTCTTTCTCCAATCTTCTTCCACTCCTTCTCTCTCTCTGGACAAGAAACAAGAGAAGGAGACGAAGAAGGATGAAAGGAAGAGGAAAAAAGAAAGAATGAATAAAAGAATGTAAATAGAAAAAAAGGAACATCATCGGTTCTTCGTCCTTCCCTCGACATATACAAATAAATAAAAAAGAAGAAAAATAAGAAGTTGGAGGAGGGTAAAAAGATGAAAAAGAAACAAGAATGAATGAATGTAATTAGTAAAAAAAAGAATGATTTTAGTTTTTTCCATTCACTCCACATATGCAAATAAACCAAAAATAAGGAAAAATAAAAGAAAAAGGAGACGAAGAAGGAAGAAAGGAAGAAAAGAAAAAAGAAAGAAGAATGAAGAAGAAACTAAAGAGAAGACAAAGGAAAGAAAGATATCAAAGAAGAAAACATATATTATGTAGATTCGTCTTCCAGCGGTCTAGGCCTTTCCTCTCGGCAGCGGGACCCGGATGTAGGATCGCTGATGGAGACTATCTATGGTAAGTTTTTGAATATGGAAATTAGTGCATTTGGTTCGTTGGTGCGAGTGAATTTTCTCTTCCTCGTTTTCTTTCTTTTTTCTTTCTTTTTGGTGCTGGTTGGCTGTTGCTAGGTCCTCTCTTTTATCGGTCTCTTTCCTGCCTTTCTTTTCGCTGCTTTATACACGTACATGAACGTCGGTATGTATGTGTGTAAGTATTTATTTGGGTCCCGGTGTAGAGTGCCGTCGTCAGGGTAAATCTTCCTCTTTTCTTCGTCTCTCTCTCTCTCTCTCTCTCTCTCTNCTATCTATCCATTTATTTATATCAATCGCTTCCCCCTTCTCTCTCTCTCTCTCTCTCTCTCTCTCTCTCTCTCTCTCTTCGCAACAACCTCCCTTTTCAGGATTCTTATTTTTCTCCCTTTTCCTCGCCCATGGCTTTTATTTCCCCTTTTACTTCCACCACTGACATCGCCCTCCTCAAGATCTTACATTTCCTTCCTCTCCTCTTCCTTCTCCTGCTCTTTTTCCTCTTTTTCTTTCCCCATTCCTTCCCTTCCTCTCTATCTTCTCATTTCGCATGCCCCCCCTCCTCCTCTTCTTCTTCTTCTTCCTCCCTCTCCTCCTCCTCATCCCCTGCTTATTCTGCTCCTTTTTATTCTTGTTTTTCTTCTTCCTCCTGCTCTACCGCTCCTTATCTTCTTCATCCTACTCCTCCTATTTCATTTCTGAAAATCAGTGACTTACGTCGGACTAGATAAAGAGAATGTAAAGTCAACTCGAAAGAAAAAATCCAAGACCTATTCCAAATCGATGAAAGACCCGCCTCAGGACCAAACGCAAGATGGCCACTTGCTTCTTCAAACTTCCAATTGAAAAAAGCGTCTGATGGAATCCTTCGCTCTGAACCAATTCCATATAGATGCGGAGGAAAGGGTAAAGTTCACAGAATATTCTAATGGAAGTTAGCCTTTCCGAACCCAAGCCCACCGGAATTTCCTGCGGGTTTTAGCTATTATCCCAAGACCAATATGAAAAGATGGATAAAGAAATATCTTCAGATAAAACCATTGCGTAAAAGTTACCTTGGTAAGGAAAATATGTCACTTGAAAAATGTGTCATTATGATGTCTCGATTCTTAAAATGTTTTAAGCCCTAAAGCCTTCATCCGAAGGCCTAAAAGATTAGATAAAGTTAGGCCAAAAATAAGAATTTCTAGTCTAAAGATCAGTACTAATTTCCCACCCAACCCTCAACCCTCACCGTCAACCCCAATGAAAAGAAAACACCCAGAGGCAGAAGCTAACACTTAACACATGTGCGGCACTGCCAGGCTTGGTCTGTCAAGAACACCAGCGGGTTCCTCAAGAAAACCCATCTGGCGTCTGTCTCTCACGCACTTGACAACCTACTGACATACATCTTTGGTTTCATCGACTCACGAAGGAGCTCAGCCTACAGCGTCGGTGTGCGAGAGAGAGAATGTAAGGAAACATATTGCGCTGGCGAGATTAAAGGTGTATCACCAAACCTGTTTGGAGACGGGGCTGAGGGTGACTCGATGTCTTGTAAAGCAGAAAAGGCCCTGTTATAATATTTCTTCATTATCATATATCAAAGTTGCTGTGGTATTAAAATGCATAATTTGGCTATCCAGAGAATGTAAAAGAAAAAGAGCCAAGGCGAAATCCCTTCACTGGCAGACGTACCTTCTGGAGTTCACTCGCCTCTCTCCTCCGACACGAAAAATTTCACTCTTACTCCTCCGCAATTTCTATATTCGCTATTATTTTTTCGTCTCACTTCACACTATAAATTCGTAAATCTATAAGGAGACATCACTTAGCATTGTCTACACCACAAAAACATGGCGAGTTCGGAAACACAAGAGCACAGACACCTCACGACAAAAAATTAAACGGGGAAGCACAGGTCTCCCCTCCCCGGTCGCCGCGTCGACACTACCTGTGCTGTGGCTGCGTCAACCTCTCAAACTTTCTCCTCAAGATGCCGATTAGTGACTTTAACGCGCCTTGTCTGAGTGACTGTAGGCCTATCCCATAGACTGATAGGAACTTAGGTGGCGTAACTAATGCTGCGCCATCAGAGTAATTACCATGGCATTTGGGTTGAGTAGGATTTTCGTTTTCATGTTTTTCGTAAATCGCGAGGAACAATTGAGATCCGATGTCGTGGCGGGGCAGGTAAGTGGTGTAAAGGTGATCAAGATTACAGGGAGAACTGAGGTAGATTTCAGAGTCAACTGGAATTGGAAAGAAGGGGGGCTTACGGAGGAGGTAAAATATCATACAGCAAAATATATAAATATGTTTGCATAATAGGTTTTAAAAACACACAACTACGCACACACACACGTATATATACACACATTTATATACATATATCTATCTATCTATCTATATATCTATCCATATATATATATATATATATATATATATATATATATATATGGCTATCTAGCTATCTATCTATATATATATACATAAATATATATATGTATGTATATATATATATATATGTATTTACATACATAGATAGATAAATACACACACACACACACACACACACA